TGCTAGTAAGTAGCACACTTATGAGGAATTCCAGAAGTAGGCAAACAGTACTTGAGAGCTTTGGGGCCTGCAAGCAGAATTCCCAGCAATATTTCCATTCATTCCAGCCATTCATCTCTAGCTGGAAAGGCCAAGAGTGAGAAGAAAACCTAGTCAATACGTGTCAGAAAGTACCTGACAAGTGACCTGCCCATGGTCAAGTCAATAGGACCATAGCATAGGACCAGATCTCTTGGGAGAGAATGCCATGGTGCCCACATGCATGGCGTAGGTCTGAGTGTGTGGTGTGGAGCCAGGCCTGGTGGATGAGGGGCTTGCTCATCAAACTTCTTAAGGTCCCTGAAGTGAGAAATAAAAAAAAATTATTCTGAAAAACGAATAAAAAAGTATTCTGAAATCCCATCAAAAGACCCCAAATTTGCTAGAATCACCCAAGAATCTGCTTGGAAAAGCAAAAGGGTAGGGCTGGCTATGCCCCAGCAGGTGGTTAATGTAAGCATGAGCCTCGGCTTTGGCTTTCAGTTGGGCCATGAGGACAACCGACCATCTGAAAAATTTTATGTTTTATTGTCCCAGAGTTAAAGAGTCATCTAGTAGGCTTAGCATTTTTGAAACCCATCCCACACACACTTTGATGATGGCCAGGAGCAGGCCTTACCTGGAGTGTGGCTTAAACAAGGCTGGGGGCTGTGGAGTCAGGGGTGATGTGGGGTGTCCGAGGCTTAAGGAATAGGCAAAGGCCTAACATTTCAGGAGACAGATCCAATGGAACACTAAGTATGTGGAGCAAAAGCAGGTGAGAAATCTCACCGTAATTGTTTAGAGCCGGAGAGATAACAGCAAATGCAAGTGACTCAGAAGCAGTGAGGGAGGAAGGAACTCTTGCTAAGTGACTGCCCAGAACAGGTATTTGTCATCTGCAACTTACTTTTGCAATTTTAGTTCATCTCTAGTATCTAGAAAGATCCAAGGTCATGAACAGGGCAAAGAAAGCAATAAAAGCAAACAATGAGAATTTGGGGTGAATCTTCAGCAATACTGACCCCTGTATAAAACCATCTGAGCAATAACCTGGTGGCCCACAGCTATTGTCAAACAATCTAGACATGGTCCAGCAAGCTGGCGGCTCTGACGCTGACCAGCTCTGTGACCTTGGGGGAGTTTTATAACCATTTTGGCTTTCATTTGATCTTCCGAGAAACGGGCATAACAGTATCTCCCTCACCTCCTTTGTAGGGTTTTTGTGAAGATCAGATAAATCATAAGAATGCCTGAAATCATAAGAAATCTGAACATGCTGCAGAAACCTAAGAGCATTACCAGGATCCTCTCTTTAAACTGAAAAAATGTTTTTTTTATTTGCCATTCTTCTCTGCAGAGTTCAAAGTCTTTGAAAAGCATTATTTTCTTGACAGAAACAGACACTTTTTGCAAATCCATTAGAAAATCAATTGAAGAGGCTAGCAAAGTTTTACACAAGCTATTTTTAATTCGGGAAATGAGCCAATGCCATCACTGTGACTGTTAGGAAAGTGTTCTTGGTTTGTACATCACAGCTTTTCTAAGAACTTTTGCAAAGGGGGTCCCTCTGATCGAGCCGTGCTGTCAGCTCACCGGCACAGAGAGAGCTGGGGTGGGGAGCCACGGGGATGCTCGTGCGCTATGGCTGCTGCTTGGGTTTCATTTTGTTATTGGATTTAGTCCGGATTCTGGATTTGGTGTTGACAGCACCCTCCTTGTGCTGACTCTCTGAAAAGACAAAAACGATTAGAGTGCTGTAGTGACACTATCTCATATTTACTAAAGGTGTTTTACTTTCCGAGGCATTTTCAAAATTCTGTTCTACCTGACAAACTCCTAAGCTACAGGAGGTTCTGTGTCCAAAATTTGACTCCGAAATGGTTATTAGGATTCGGAATGCATTTCCCCCAAGTTTTAGTGTAGTCAGTTAACTGCCCGAGTTCTGGATCCTCGTAAAAGGGACTATGTGGCCAAGGAGAGACGAGGAAGAGGAAGAACATGTCCTCCTACCCTGAGTTTGGTGGAAAAAAACATTCCAGTAGAGCTAGTGCCCAGAATCTTCCCAGACCTATTCCTGCTCCCCCCGCCCCGGCCCCGTCCCTCTCTCCAGTCTCTTGCACGCAGACCCTACACAAGCCCCACCCTTGGGTCAGGGGCAGGAGGCCTTCCGCCACCAAGCCTGCTCCCCCTGGCTGCTCTATGGCATCACACTTCTCACTGTGAATCTTCTGACAGGCTGCTGCCACCTCCATCCCACGTTTGGTCACTTGTTCACACCCCTGCTGTTAAGTGGATTTTCTGAATAAACGTTCCGGTCACCTGCATGGCATGGGGACTGCCTTACTTAGGAGCCAATTCCCCAAAGCTCTGCAGGCTTCTCGCCCTCCATCTTTGAGCCCCCTGGGAATGACTGATGGGTGTCTGAAAGGCATGGAAGGGTGGCTGTGTGTCTGTGTAGGTTATTGTTTGCAGGCTGAGGATTAAACTGTATATAGTTATTTTCTACCTATAATTATTAAAACTTTTTCTTCTTCGTTCCCCCTGGGAATGACTGATGGGTGTCTGAAAGGCATGGAAGGGTGGCTGTGTGTCTGTGTAGGTTATTGTTTGCAGGCTGAGGATTAAACTGTATGTAGTTATTTTCTACCTATAATTATTAAAACTTTTTCGTTCTGGATTTAACCTAATCCCCAAGACCTTTATGGAAACAGACAAAACTAAAGTCATTCATTCTATATTGAGGTAAATAACCTCTCCAGTTTAACATGTAAGCCTTCTGTATGGTGTATATATTTATTTTTCTGTAATCAGGAAAAAGAATAGTTTTCAAATTATCAGAATGAAATTTTATCGCAGCATGAGAACATGAAATGTTTTTAATTCATAAAAATTATTTTGCATACAGTCAAACCTAAAGCTAAAGGACTGTCACACGAGGAATAATTAATATCTTATCAGTTCAGAATTAACAGGAGAGAAAATGGGCCCAGACTCTTCCTCCAAACAGTGCCGATGCACCAGACGGTGAGGGGCTTGCTGACCGCTTTTCTTGGGGGCATAGGTGGAGATAGCGGTGACAGCGAAAATCAGAGAGGAGGTATCTTCCCTTTGCACCAGGAGTTGTCCTGGGAACAGACCACGGGTCGAAGATGAAAGCAAAAAGAAAAAGACAGCCTCCGATGGTGGGGATACTGGGAACTGCTCGAGGGCGGGTTATAGCACTAATTAGAGATAAGAAAATGAAGACTCAAATGCCTTTTCCTGTAGAATAAAGGAGATTATTTTCAACCAGTATCAGAAAATAAAGGCAAAAATTCCCCAGAAAATTCTATCAATGAGAAACAATGCCTGTCAATATTTGGGCACATTTACTTCTGGTCTTTTTTCCCAGCTTTAAAAAATTGAATCATATCCTATTTCTTGCATTTGATATGTTAACATAAGAATTTCCCCTGTCATTATAAACTCCTAGCAAACACCACTTTAATAGTTATATAATATTCAGGTATATTAATATATCATAATTTATTTAATCTTTCTTTCATGATTAGAGTTTCTATTTTCTCCTATTGTATATACAATGATATACTAAACACCTTTGTGCATTATATTTTTTTTCTGTATTTAGAATTATTTCCTTAGACTAGATTCTCAAGAGTGAAATTATTTGGTCAAAGTATATGCCTGTTTTTAAGGCGTAGCCATACATACTCTCGACTTATTTTCCAAAACGGTTTTATCTGTCTGTCCACGCACAAGTCTCTGTAAAACTAACTACTTTGCTCCTCCTGACCAGCAATGTATTATTTTAATCTTTGCCAATTTTATAAATAAAAATTGTATCCCATGTTAGTTTACTAGTCTATAATTGTTAGTCATTTCATTTTCTTTTTTGTGAGTTGTCTAAATAAGATAGTTATATGGTTAAATGTGCAATCCTATGAGAAATATAAACTAGTAGATCGACCCTAAATTTATTGACCCTATTCTAATGTATTTCTCACCCAACTGAGTTTTCTTTCATAAATACAACCTCAATAAAGCAAAATGAGAGAGCAAGCCTCACCTTTCTTTAGAAATTTTGAGGAACTTTCTGCTGGCCCGATTTCTTCTTCTTCTTCCTCTTCTTCATGTTCTTCTCCTTCTCCACCTTCTCCTCCTTCTCCTCTTTTTTCTCCTTCATTTTCTCCTTGTCCTTCAGGCTCCTCTCTAGACTTCAATATGTCCTCCAGTTCTTTATTTCTTATAAGGGTAAAATGAAGTTTCTCATTGATATCATCGAACTTCTCCTCTGCTTGTCTGGCTCTGTTTTCAACTTCTCTGATGTGAACAAAGTCCAGAGAAACGCAATGAAATGAAAAAGTTAGAAAAAGAATGTTTCATGTATAAAACTCACTGTCTAAAACAGGCAGTGGGATTGGATGAATGTATTTGACGATGAAGGGTACAAACAGGGGAGGCAGCGACACCAATGACCAGCTGAGCCCTGGGGGCCGGGGAGCCACCCTGTGAGGTAATGTCAGAGTCGCAGTCATGCTGTGATTTAAGAATATGACAGATTTATCATTTCTTAGTGAAATTTGACTTTTGAGTATTTGGAATTCTCCATCAATATCCAAGGAACCCTTTTCAGTAGTTAATTTTGGCTTCTCTTCATCGGTGTGATCTAACAAACTAAATCCAATTGTGTCCCTTCTTTTTTTTTTAATCCTGAGTATAAGTGCCGAGAAACAGTCTTTTTTTTTTTTTTCATTCCCTTCTTTTCCAGTACCTTTAAAACCATATTTTACAATCAAGAAAACCAGTTCGAGATGTGCTTCTTAATTACTGCAGCACATGTTGCACGTCTATGTGGCCACGCTTCTCTCTTGGCATTCTCAGCCATCTGAACTGTATTGCCCCTCCTGCTTTTCGGGTTATGAAACATTCTTTCTTACACACCGTAATTTCTCCCTGTTCCATTTATTTCTCCAGCTCATCTCCTAGAAACCCACTGAATTGGATCGATCTTAACACCCCATCCCCCGACATACACACACACTCTGCCTTCTCCCATTTCCACTTTGGGTGAGGACAGTGTTCCTACTACGGCAGTGTGGTTCACTGATTCTAGCAGAAGATTTGGAGATGCTCATCCTGCTAGTGAGGATGAAGGAAGCGGGAGAACCAAAGGTCAACCGAGAAGTGCGGATTTCTCAGCCAAACCTCCCGGCCAGCATCTTCTTCTTACATCGTGGTACCTCATACTTACGTTAATTTCTTCTGCGTGTGTTCAATTATAGCCATAGCTTCAACATACTTTGAGGCCAATGTACCTTGATTAGCTGATTCTCTCTGACAAAGGAAATATCCACTGTGAATAAACTGGAAGTTCCAACAGTTAATACTCTACTTTTCCAGGATGTTCTGGACCAAGGCTTCCAGGACTTTTTTTTTTTTTAACTATCCATATTTATATAGTAGACAATTAAGAACACTCTTAACATCAAAAAAAGAATAGGGAATGCCTGTAGCCAAATAGCACACCAGCTTCCAAATTACTCATGGGACATAAATTTGATTAGAGTTGTAAAGAAGAAGCAGGGAAAACAATATAACAAAAAAAATAACAAAAGAGGTTTAAAAAAACATAGAGAAGGATACACGTATTTCCCTAATAAGTAAAGTTAAAGATCAAGGAAATTATCTATATTTATCTTATTAATAATTTACTTCACTAAGCACATAACATTGCAAAATCCAATAAGATCTTGTAAGTTCTGTAGGAAATTTCATTAATATCAAGGCGGTGAAAATACGAAGAAAAAAAAGACCTCTAACACAGACCTAGAACTTTCTGTGGAGGAATTTTAAAGCTATTTTCCTGCTCAATTTCCATAACTACCGTCCAAAGGTTTCCAATTTCCCAGTAATTCTTGTGGATGGAGGTATGTATGTGGTCATCGTAGCTTCAATTAAGGAAAGGGAGGAGATGCTGATTTTAAAATGAGGTTTACAGAAGAGAATGAAAAGTGTTTGCTATGTTGTTGGAATGAGAGTTTTCTAGGGATGATGCTAGGAGAAAACAAAATCTGAAAAATGTATTTCTTAGAAGGGCCTGGTCCTCTTGTAGGAGATAAAAGTTAGGCTATATCCATATCATGTTTACATAATCTTAAATTTCTTAGCTTTTTTCCTCTAGTTTGGAATTTCCTAGTTGGGTTTCAGATACATACCCAGGAAAATAACATATCTGCTCCAAACAGAGGTCTGGAATGAACATTTTCATCTTCTCCAATGAACCGAATGAGTTTTTCCTTCTCTGGAGATGCTGAAGGTTTCTACGGCACAGAAATACCGAGGACCCGTTAGTGAGCTGGTGTGTAACACAGCAGCATGGCAAGCTGCCTGGAGCCACGTCTGAGGCTTTCATTTTCCATTTGCTGTAATCATTTAACAAGCCTCTCTGAAGACTTACAACAAATGCTGTGCGTTAAATTAGTATGTTTGGGGAAGTGGGGACAAGGGAGACAGCTGTGAGAAAAACAAAGAGGATTTTTAGACCTCAGAAACTCACAGTACAGTAGGAGAGATAAGCAATAAAATAATTATGTATGTGTGACTGCTGTTGGCACAGAGGTGTGTTCCAAGAGCCACATGTACCTGTAAAAGGGTCCCCCATTCTGCCTAGATGCTCAGGGAGGTTTCTACAGAGAAAATGATATTGGAAGGCCAAATAGGAGTTTGTAAAATAAAGAGGAAGGGGCCTGATCTAAGGCCACAGGAGGAGGACGAGAGGCGATGCATTATAGAATTAAAAGGTATGACAGAATTTAGTGGCCAAATAATAATGTCTTCCGTTAATTTTTTTGCCTTCTATAAGCCAAGCACTGTACCAGAAATAAAACAGAAAATGCTGGTCAAAAGAGGCCCGAGTGTTGTATAATATTCTTGTTCTGTTGTCCTGCATGGCCCGTGAGTAGAGGGCCAAGGTCAGAGTGTGGGGTCATGCCAACATTTAAACTATTCGCAGAGAAGAAACATCAGGGAAGTAAGTCAAGACAGCAGAGAGAGTGTGAGGTGATCATGATGAGTGTGAAAGCCAAAGACAAGAATCGGTCTAGGAATCAGCAAGAGCTCTTCTGCTGGACTTATCTGGGGTTGAATGCTGGTTGTGCTACTCACAGTTACACGATTTTGGGTAAGACAGTCAACCTTTCTGATCTTCACTTTTATCTCTAAAATGAGGGTGGTATTATTTACCTTGAAGTTGTGTTGTATATAAGAAATAACATGTGCAAAGCATATACCTCATGGTAGGCACTCAGTTATTGGTGTATCATTGTATTTTTGTTACTATTACAAGTGCCCTGGGAAGGGTTGTTATTACCACTAATGCCTCAACAGGGGTGAAGACAGAGTAAGGAGAAGAGAGATGTGAACACGGGCTTGAGAGGAGCGGGGGAAGGCAGCTCAGAACGGGACCTGAAGAAATGGGAACACAGTGTTTACACTACTGTCTGAAAAATCTGGCAGTGAAGTTATAAAGGAACAGCATCAGTGAGAGACTGATGACACGGTTAACAGTACAGGTGTGAATGACGCTAATGCGAAATGGCTGGAAAAAAGACACCCCTTCCTCAGAAAACCATGAGTCTGTCTTCAGATATAGTTAACTATATGAGAAAAGGCATTTTGTTGAATTTGAAGTGTTTACTCCAGATGATCTATTTCTACTTTCAACTACATCCATCCATCTATCTATCTATCTATCTATCCATCCATCCTCTTTAAAAATATAAAGGGATAGGAGAAAATAATACTAAATAATCTTACTTCTACTTTCTTTTCTTCTTGTTCTTTCTCAAGTTTCTCAACCTCCTTACTTTCTTCTTCATCTTCTTTAAAAAGTGTGTCTACTTCAGACTCAATAAATTCCTTTACACTGTCCTGTGAGATAAAACAATATCATAATTATAACTTAGTGTATATAAATATTTTAGTACTATATTAGCAATTATTCACTCCAAAATATTTAATGGGCACTAATCCTGCAAGTGAGCCCTGTGCCAGTGATAAGGATACAAAGGTTAATAAGAACGGTTCCTGCCTTTAAGAAGCTTATAGTTCAGTGAATCAATATTCAGAACATTGATTGGGAAAAGTCACTGAACCCTCACCTATTAAAACACAAGAATAACCTGAATAATGAGCAATGCTAACACAAGACAAATACCTCTTCTTCAAATAGGAGTTCTTTTTCTTCGCTTGTCAATAACTTTATTTTTCTGCCTTTCATTCCAGAAAGGAGGTGAGAGCATGTGGTGATCCACTCATAACATTCTTTCTGAAAAAGAGACAAAAGACATTATTAAGCAGAAAAAAAATCAGATTACATCAACTCATGTATTCACTCATACCTACTGAGGAGCTGCTAAATACAATTCCTCTAAGTATAATTCAGTAATAGAAACTACATGTACTTTACCAAGATCTCCTAACAGCTAAGATCTGGCTTCAATGTTTAAAAGATATATTAGGAAACTATCTTCTCTGGAGAGGGAGATCAGGTCACTTCAACCACCAAAACACTGTTCCATGAGGCAAAATAGCGACCCAGTTTAAGTCAGCACGGTTAACCATAAAAAGCAGTATTATGTCTTACATTTTTCTCATTACTAGACTTATTTTTAATTGTGAAATTATTATGAAACGTCAGAGCCAGAAAACTGTAGAAATCAAATCCAAACCCTTATGTTATACATAAGGAAACTGAAGTCTAAAGAGTAAGTTTACCAGAGCTTAGTCAATGTCACTGATAAGTTTAAACTCTGGATTCAGATGGTTAGGATGATGTCTTATTGCATATCAGAAAGAGGATCAAACAAGAAATGCGAAAGAATTGAGTTCTAGTCTAAATTCACCTAATTAGTTGTGGCTTCTTGGATAAACTCTTAATAGTCTTCATCTATTAAAAACAAATGAAGTCGTAGTTTACTTTAGGTGACCGCTATGTAGTAGGAAACTAGTAATCACCGTCTTGGTGAGGGGGAGCCCTAATCTGTAGCACTTGCTAATTTCCATGGTAAAAATACTCCCACCATGGCATTTCCGATGACAGTCATCAATTCAATTGATAAGCACTGAATGTGGAGCTGGGAAGGGGTATGCACAGGTAGTTCTTGTGAGCCAATGTGAGTCTCCATCATGCCACTGCCCCTAAGGATCCTTCTGGCTACAAAATTTGATGCATACGTTATTTAACTTTCTTTATTGTAACTAGAACAAAGCACTAGTTAATGTTGAAAATAATAATATTTTTGAAACTTTATTTCTTCAGTTAATATATCATTCATGAGAAATAAACTATTCTCTAGTTGAATTTGCATTCTAACAGAGATCCTAGTCATTTTCTTATAAACTTCTGAGACATTGAAAATACCATCATCATAACACTTCTGATAGAAGAAAAATCAGTAGGAGTCTTTTGATGAACGTTTTGTGGTAATCTATAGAGTTAAGCAAGTTTTCCTCAAAGTTAAGCAAGTCTTCTTTCAAAACCTTCAGTCTACGGCCATACCACCCTGAACGTGCTCGATCTTGTCTGATCTCGGAAGCTAAGCAGGGTCAAGCCTGGTTAGTACTTGGATGGGAGACCACCTAGGAAGACCAGGCGTCGTAGGCGTAAAAACAAAACAAAACAAAAAAACCTTCAACATCACCTTTGATCAGCTCTAGACCAGGATAGCTCAGTTGCTAATCGATACCTGTGGACCTTCTTCCATCAATAGTCTTATTTAATTTTAACAAAGCCTGATCTGGGGCTATGTTAATAAATCCTTCTGGTGTGAACAGGACTTAAATTCACATCTGGGACCCTTGGAGGATTTAAGCAGCAAGAGATGGCCCTAAATGTTAAGCCTATTGTAGTGGATCAAAAGCAGGAGGATGAGAAGACTATAGGAGATAGTCTTTTATAGGGTACCAGTGGTAAGACTATGGTGGTAATGGAGTTAAGAATCTAACATCCCCAGGTCTCTTCCAAAAGGTGGGATAGCTGGAACTTCCCTGAGTTAACTGGAACACTGCAAGAGGCAAGCCCCCAACACTCCTCTTCAAAGTCATAGTTTAGGAGGGCCAAATCCTGGAACTGGCAATTGTACTTGGGTGACATAAAAGAGGTTACTGCAGCCCGAGGTGGACAGCAGGACCTTAATAAATCACACAGGGCAGAGGTGGGAAAGAATGGCATGGAGGGAGTCACTTGCAGCCAGGAATCAGCTTGAAGGCCCCCAAGCTAGAAGTCCTCTCATTTACATCATGGTGGGTATTTGATATTGAGAGGAGATATTTTCCTCCCATACGTTCTCAGAACTATCAGGTGCTGGTCAATGTGTGTCTTTTACCAGTCTTGGCCTGCTGAAGCTTATCTCAGAGATCCTTCTAAGTCATTTGCCACCTGCTCAGATTATGACTAAACTCCAGGGCATCAATAACTCTAATTCTAGATACCGGAACATTACAGATGGTCAACATAAAGCACTTGAAAAAAGACATCTAACTTATTGGGGGCTAAGTTTCTAGGCTGTCAGCAGTTGGTCTAGGCTGCAATAGACCCAGTATATTCTCAGTGGGTGCTAGGACTCTTTGACTCAGTGCTTCCAAGCATCAAATGAAGTCTTAATGACAAGCAATTCTTTCTCCCAAGTGGAGCAGCTGATAAGCACTGAGACCAACTTCTTTCAGAAATAGGCACAAGAGCAAGGATCCCTAGAACTGAATCCTCTTAGAAAATGACCTCCAGCATTTAACTGTAGCTCAGCTGTGAGGTCAGATTGAATCAAGATATACCAGGATCATTTAGGAAATAAACAGGGTACCTAGCAACGGTCTTGCAGAACTAGATAATCCCTAAGACTTCTTGAGAAGTCATTTAGGCATATACAATGGGAGAGTGGAGTAAGAACAATTGGTTCATCATCAAATTCTAAAAGATACTTAGTTAAGAGGACTCCCACTCCAGAATCCTGTCCAGCGTCATGCAACTCTCATTTATTGGAAAGAGAGCCCAAGAAATATTAGATTGTGGAAAATTATCACTAATGTCATCCAAATATGAGTCCAGTAGGTTGGCAAGATGTTGTTCTTAACTGATAGAATGTGACTGGGATGTGGCACAAGCCACACAGCGTCACAGTATACCCACATTACACAAGGCTTCCCTGGAAGACGATCTTCCCCTCTTCGCCTTGTGGGATACAAATGAAGCCATAGGAGTCCCAGAGTCTGATGTCATAAAGACTTATGTACCACAGAGGCTGTCCAGAAGATCAGGGGAAGACAGTAGCAGTCAAGAATAGGGATGAATTTAAAATTAAGATACCCTAATGTAAAGGTAACTACACATTCATTTTTCATTACTCCCAGGGCACGGGGGTACTGTAGAGCTACAAATTAGTTTGATGTACCCTCGAAAGGCCTCAGTCTCAGGCTTTGAAGGGGGAGGGACATGCACATTTGGTAGGAAAAAAGGCCCAAGCCTGGGATCAGTTAGTCTTACTGCTGGTATGAGAGCGGATTCTTGGCCTCCTCTGATAACATTTCCCTGCAGTCGCTAGCAAAGGGTTAGTACATGGAAAAGAGCTTAACAGAAGACTGAAGCAGCCTGGTGGAAAGTGTGGGTTCTCAAAGAGATGGTCAGGCCCTGCCAGAGCAGGCAATGAATGGCCCATTTCACCAAGCTCCCACAAAATCTAACATGGATGGTTTTATATAGATCCCCAAGGTCCCTTCAGGAAGGGCCCCTCACAATAATGTGCCCCACCCCATACTGCTATAGCCTTAACTTTAATGGGGAGGTACACATGAAAGCATCCTGAAGTCTTCATTCTAAAACTGCCTTTACCTGGAAACATGGTCTCACTGTACAGAGCTCTACCCCTGTTCAAGTAAATGAGGACAAAGGTGTATCATGGAACAGGCCAGTGAGTTCCCACTACTGTCAATGGCAGATCTGACCTGCCAAAACTGGGATCTCCACCACTGGGGGAACCGTAGAGCTACAAACTAGTTTGATGTGCCCTTGAAAGGGTAGCAGCCGGGGCTGGTGGCGGCAGGCCTGAGATGTGAGCACACTTCTAGATGCACAGTGAGGGAGGGCCACAAGCTCCAAGAGACTGTTCAGTTTAGTCTGCTGGGAAGAATACCTCCCAACTCATTCCTAAGAGGCCAGCATCACTCTGCTATCAAAACCAAAGATTACAAAATGAAACAAAACTATACAATCAATATCACTCATGAATATCAAAACAAAATTTTTAAACCAATTCGATTTTAACCAATTGAATTTAGCAATACATGAGATAATGCAAAATGATCAAGTGGGGTTTATCACAAGAATGCAAGGTTGGTTTAACACTCAATTAAAAATCAATGTAATTCACCATATTAAAAGAATAAAAAAGAAAATTCAAATGACCACTTCAGTAGATGCAGAAAAATGATTTAATAAAATCTGACATTCGTTCCTGACTTAAAAATTTTCCCAGCAAACAGGGAATAGAAAGGAACTTCCTCAGTCTGAAAAAGGGCATCTGTAAAAAACCTACAGCTAATATCACACTTAAAAATGACAGAATAAATGCTTTTTCCCTAAGATGGAACAAGGCAAGGATATCTGCTCTTACCACTTTTATTCAACCTGGTACTGGAGAGTCTACTTAGTGAAATAAGGGGAAAAAAAAAAAGAAATATGAGGCATATAGATTGGAGAAGAAGAAAAACTGTCCCTATCTGCAGCTGACATGATTGTGAACATAAAAAATTTTAATGAATCTGAAAAAAAACTCTTAGAGAAATAAGTGAGTTCAGCAAAGACAGGACATGAGATCAACATATTTTTAAAATCTATTATAATTATATATACTAGCAAGGAATAATGAGAAATTAAAATTATAAAAGACTGTCATTTATAACAGTAGCAAAATATGAAATCCTTAGGGATAAATCTGATAAAACATGTGTAAGACCCGTACACTGAAAACTATAAAACTTTGTTGAAAGAAATAAATGACTTAAATAAGTTAAGAGATATATAATGTTCAAAAATCCAAAGATTCTATATGGTTAAGATGTCAATTCTCCATGAATTAACCAATAGATAATATGTAATTATAATCAATATCTAAACAGGCTTTTTTGGAGAAATTGATCAATCTTGAAAAAGAACACATGTGGAGGATTTACACTACGTAATTATAATCAATATCTAAACGGGCTTTTTTGGAGAAATTGACAAGCTAATTCTAAAAAGTTCATATATGGAAAGCAAAGGACCTAGAATAGCCTGATCGATCTTGAAAAAGAACACATGTGGAGGATTTACACTACTTGAGTTCAAAACTTATTATAAAACTACAGATATCAAGACAGTTTGATAATGTGACAATGTTGACAATAGATCAAACAGAACACAACAACAGAATGTCCAGAATAATACCCATACATATAGAGTCAAGAGGTTTTCAACAAAGAGGCAAAGGCATCTCAATAAAAGATATCTTTTTCATCAAATGGTGCTTAAACAACTGGATATCCAAATGCCAGAAAATGAATTTCATCTCATACCTGGCACCATACATGAAAAAAATTAACTCAAAATGGGTCACAGACCTGAATATAAAGCCTAAAGCTATAATATTTCTAGGAGAAGATCTTCATGATGTTATTGTTCAAAAATTTTCTTAGATATAATACCCAAAAATTGATAAAAGAAAAAAAATAAATTAAACATTAAAATTAAGACCTTCCTCTCTTGAAAGATATTGTTGAGAAGACAAATCACAGACAGAGAAAATATTTGTAAATCACATAATTAATAAAAGACTTGTATCAAGAATATATAAAGAAATGTGTTGCATGTGTTCCTTTTTTATTGTAGTAATCACTTTACAGGTGTGTGCACATTTTAAAAATGATCAGATTGTACCCTTTAAATTTGTGTAGTCTGTTGTAAATCAGCTGAACCTAAAAAGTCTGTTCAAAACAAACAAAACAAAAAGGGAAGACAGAGCTATTACCTTCATCTGATCCAGGTCGTGAAGTTCCTTAGCAGGATTTTTTTGTAAGCTGCCAGCTATACTCAGAGCCATCGCTGTTACCATCCCTTTGCAACAACTGGAAAAAAAAGCACACACACACACACAGCATGCTGGCTCCTCCCCTAAGAGTTTTACACCCAGCTGCGGTGGAAGTCTACCATGATAATGAAGCCACTGACTCACCAAACAGTATAGTTTGTCTCTTTCTCAGTTTTTCACCATTGTCCTCTTTCTCCCCTCCATTCCTTTCCCACTCTTGACCACTGGCAACTTTGAATGGAAATGAAGGGGGAAATCGGCTAGATGATAAAACCTACTCCCCCAGATTTGAAGTAATCGGTAATAGTATGCTTACCAGTTAATACATTCGTTTTTCAGACCTCATATTTATTTGGTGGGAATGCTCCAGTTTTTCAGATATAAGGGTTTTCTTCATTTTTTTTTTTAAAGAGATGTTTTGGTCGAAACTATAAGCTTCTTCATAAATGTCCCCAGTATGTGCAAAAGTGCAAGATGTATCTTACTTATGCCAATGGGCTTTTTTGTTTTTTACTGATTCTCGCTCCTACATCTGGACATACTTCCCATCCTGCCTATGCTAACACTGTTTTCCAAAAGAATTCTAAAGTCATTGGGGAGACGCCAAAATCTCATATTCCACCTGGAACGTGTTGGAGCTAGTTTAAAAACTGAACTAGTACTCCTTTCGAGATTTTAAAATAATCCCTCATTGCAGCTACTTAACTGTCCTCTCCTCTGCTTTGTGTTGCATTTAATCTTCAAAAGGATAAAATAAACAGGTAGTTTTACCTGATCAAGTAGGTGGAGTATTGGGCCAACTTTTTCGCCAGGGCAGTTGCCTCTAGCTCTAACTTTGCTACTCCCACATCATGGTTTTCATCACTTTCCTCCTCCAACTTCAGGAGGGTGTCTTGGTCAGTAAAGTCAGGTACCATTAAAATCAGCAAGTTTACCATCCACTGGATCATAGATATATGCAATTCATCCACCTGTTAAAAAATTATTACCATACAAATGACCCATTTTAAAATAAATTGAATAGTAAAAACTATACCAAATTTAAAAATAGAAATGATCCTACCTGTGTCCAATTTTCAACAACACCATCTTTCTTAATAAAATTAAATCATCGCTATTCAGCTACAATAACTTTATTTTCTTTTGCTTAATATACATTCAATGACCCTCTTCCTTTAGCTTGGTCGAGGGTATGAAAGCTGAAGTTCCCAAACTGTGTGCCAAGGTACCCCAGGGCTCAGCAGTGGACTGTCAAGGATGCCATGGGATTTAAATCCTTGAGGGAAACAACAGTGACATGGTTTGTTTACACAGACTACCAAAGGCAGTGGAGCTACTTTAGTCCAATGACCTCCTTGTTTTATTTTAACACATTATTACTCTTCCAAACAGCTACTAAGTTGTTAGGACATACTTAGTAAGCTGTTTGAACCAACCTACTTAATAAACTGAACTGGGTGGTATTTCTTTTGGCTGAGGAGTATGAAAATGCTGGGGCACAAAGGGCACCGTGAAAGTTTGAGAACCTCTACATTAGGTTCTGGGTCCCAGAAATAAAATGCGAAAACCTTTACGAAACGTAAATGTCAAACACTGTTTTCTTCAAATGCCTTATCCCTTCTCTGGTGAGTTCTTAAGTATTCTTCTAGGTTCATATATGATCTACTCTGAGAAGACAATTTTTAACTTCCACTGGTTTTAATTTGCTCCTTTTCCTACGTTTCTATAGCACTTTGTACATTTCTCTATTATAATTGTTTGCACATCTGTCTCCTCAATTAGCCTCTCTAAGGGCCATAATTTTATCCTTCAATATATTTAGCGGGGAGTAAGTGCTTATTAAATGCTTGTTAAATGAAGAATTAAATTTGGCAGTCTATCCAGTACTAAAACGCACACTTTCTCCCTCAAAAGGAAGATGTTAATGACTTCAAGCAATGTTGTAAAGGGCAACTGTTCCTGAGAAACAGTTAAAAAGACTGCTACTCTCTTTCACAAATCAAAGGTATATCCCCCTCACATTCTACTAGCTAAGCCCCTGCTGCTTCTCAATTAAATAAATTCTTAACTGTTCTTTCATATACTAATAGCCTGGATTACACTGTCACTGAAAGAACTCGTTTTTGCTTACATAAAATACTAATCCATGCTTGGACCATACTTATGAAATAAATAGAAATATGTGTTATCTTCATTTCAAAATTACATTAGAGAGAGTAAATGGTAGAATCAAGGTCATGCAATAGGTTATAGGTGAATTTAAAATCAGAATTAAATTAAACATGTAAAAGTATTCTTTTACTTTCACAAGATATGTAAAAATTCTTTTAATTAAATAATTTTTATAATAAACCAAAGATTTGCTGTGATTGTGATACAAAATTCTTAAGTTTTAAGATAAATTGTTTTTCTTTTATAAAAAGACTTGTTCCAAATTTACTAATCTTTTCAGGGATGACGAGTGGCTACTTAGCCACCTCTTCACTGATATTTTTAAAAAATACACATACACACTTAATTTGTCCCTTCAAAATATAAGTGATGTTTAACAATGAGTAAAAGAAATTTATTTTTGGAGGGGTCATTTAAAAAATGGATAGTTAGAAGATTTTCCATCTTGGTATGAAAATGACACATGGCTCACTTTTTAAAACTCTCAAATTTAAATACTTGAAAATCTAGAAATAAGTATCTTACATGATAAGAAAATATTTAAAGATCACTGTTTTTAAATCTTACAAACAAAATATTTCAATTGACTGGGGAATCTTTTGTAAAAATATAGAAACCCCACATTGTCTAATGTTTGCAAGAACAATTGACTGACATGGTTGATGAAAAATTTTACCAGCCAATTAATAAAAACTTACATAGGATTAATGAAATTGAAAAATGAATATTATTATTTAATAAATACTGTAAGAATGCACTTCTTCAATTTGGATTCATGTTTCTTTGTGAACTATCGTTTCAACAACGAGAGTCCTTTAAAAAAAATACTGAAATAAACTGAACTTCAAGTGGCTTTATCACTAAGTATTAACCTATAATTATAAAAAATTATGAAGCCTGTTCAATCACATCAATTTTTAACCATTATTAAAAATTATTTTTAAACATTATTTATTTCATCTCTTTTGATCATTTGTATATGTTTTATAACATAAAAAACAGGTCAGTCCTAGGATACTTTTGGCATGTAAGTTAGAAATACTTGCTCAAAGGCTTTTTGCTGATGGAGGTACATGATAAGAAAATGTTTAAAGATCACTGTTGTAGATTGCTAAGAAGCACAGTTTAGGTGGAGTAGGGGCATAAAAGGCAAAAAAAAGAAAAAAAATCCAAAAAACAACAAAACAAACAAACAAACAAAAAACAAACAAACAAAAAAACCCCTAAAAAACTGGAGGTAAGAAAATGGAGCAGAAAGGAAAATGAACGGTAGGTGAAAAAAGGACAAACTTTGCCATTTTGAAATAGTTGTACCACCACTATGGAAAACAGTATGGAGGTTCCTCAAAAAACTAAGAATTGATTTACTATATGATTCAGCAATCCCTCTACTGGGCATTTACCCCAAAGACTTGAAAACCCATATCTGAAAAGATATTTGCACACCGATGTTCATAGCAGCATTATTCACAGTGGCCAGGACATGGAAGCAACTGAAGTGTCCTACGATAAATGATTGGCTAAAAAAGCTGTGGTACATATATACAATGGAATATTACTCAGCCATAAGAAGAGATGAAATACAGCCATTTGTGACAACATGGATGGACTTCAAGATAATCATGCTAAGCAAAATGAGCCAGACAAAAAAATTTGAAAATCACAAGATATCACTTATATGTGGGATATAAACCTAAAAGCAACAAACGAGCAGGACAAACAAACAGAGACTCATGGACATGGACAATGGACTAGTCGTTACCAGAGAGTAGGAGGTGGGGGACAAGTGGGGAGGTAGGTGGGGTAAAGGGGATGTTCATCCTTACTTCATTCAACAAATACTTATGACAAATATATGGTAGCTGAAGGAAACTGGACTTTGGGTGGTAAATACACAATAGAATATATAGGTGTCAAATTATAATGTACACCTGAAAATTATGTAATTGTATTAACCAATTTACCCCAATAAACTTAATTAAAAAAGAAAGAAAGAAAGGTAGAAAGAAAATGAAAAGCATTCAGTTTTATAATCGCTACATCCTATAATCTCTATGTCTCACATTAATCCCATAAGACGGAAAGGAAGAAACAATTATCTTAGATAATCATTTGTAAATCAATCATCTTAGATATTTGCTAAGAGCTAATAAGATCTGAAGAGGAAACTATTGGCTAAAATTAGATTAGAGGACATCTGTGCGGATTTTTCATTTATCCAAGCCATTTCCATCTCCTACTACAGAAAAAAAGGCAAAGACTGAGACACAACTTCAAGAAAATAAAAAGTTATACCATTTCCACACCATTACTGATTTAAAGTATACGGAGCACAATCATTCAATGCAAGCCATTACTGTTTAGCATTTTTACTATGGAGATGCAAGATAAATTAAGCAGCTTCCACTTACCAAATTTGCCTTGTAAATGGATCACTGCTATCGATAAGCAAACTATTTTTTCTTTTCAATTATAAGAAAGCTAAAAGGGATATTACCATTTTAAACTACATACTCCTGTACTATGAATAATATAAAAAGAGCATTTTGCTCTCTGGATTCTTTTAGTCTTGAAAATGGTGTACCCTCCAAAACACTGTTGATTGAATCTATCCATATTTACTGTATTAGAAATTAAAACTGAGAAATCTTTTTAAAAAAGAAAGAAATAGTGTACCAGTAAATACGGTGCCTCAAGGAATTTATAATCTTGCAAATTTTCTAAACAGTTTAATTATATTATAATGAAGTTTTAAAATAGAGGTATGTAAGGACAATATAAAGACTCTTCCTAAATAATCCTATTCTAAATAATCCTATAAAAATTGAATTCCATAATATAAATATTGAGTATATGATTCCATGGAAATAAATTACCAATGGCAAACAGAATATTTTGCTAACAAATGAGTTCATGTAGCAACACTATAAGACACCAACAGTGCTGGAATGTTCATCCTTACTTCATTCAACAAATACTTATGAAATCCCACTATGTGACAGATACTCTGCTCCCCCTTTTAAAATTAATTGCAATTGTTTTCAAAATCATAACAAATTTCTTCCAACCTTGGATCCATGCTTCCAGTCTTACTATATTTGCTCCTCAGCTTTTGGTGTCTATGTGTTTGCAACACGCGCATAGACTGATAAAATGTAATGCTTCATAAGTAGTATTCCCATGTAACTGATGATCTCGGCCTTTGAAATTGCCAATTAAAGCAATATTAAAATGAGTTAAATTCATTTTATCAATTTTGTAAGATCAAATATTTGTATATTAAGTTAACTTACAGTAAGATTTTTATCCTGTGTGAACTTAGGTTATAAGTAAGACCAGGAGGTGGAAGTCAACTCAATAAACTAGGACGGCCTTCGGAAATTTCACATTGTGCCGGTTGCGAAGTCCGCAGCTTCAGTTTTTGGAACTGCAGAACAGTTCTACTTGTTCTAACAATACTAGACCAATAGTTTCGTGGCACCTTGTCTTTCCTCCTAGTAATGTGTTTCTGTCTGTCATCCTTCACCCAGTCAGGGGCACCAACATAAATTCTTAAATCGGTCACATCCCAGGTAATGGTATTAAGGGGAAAAAACTCAGTGTAGCAAGTAAAGCATAAAGATAATCATTAGAACTCAAAAACTTTTGATCATCTCTGAAACTCCATTCCAGAGGCAAAAAGATATTGCATTTAAAAATCTCCTGAAAGTCACTTGAGTAATTATATAAGTTCCCATTTTGCCCTCCCAACCTCCCACTCTAATTGCATAGGCCTGGCTTGGTTTTTCTTAAAGAAAATTCCCAGCCAAGGCAGAATTAACCTAACAGGTCCCGACAAGTACATACGTGGCGCTGAAGTTCAATGTTACCATTGTTAATCTCATTGCCTATCTTCAAAAGCCATTGTTGAATCATGTTAAATATATGTGCTTGGAGTACCCTGAAGGAAAAATTAAGTAAAATAAAGATAAGTGACTTACTTAGAATATAAAAGTAACTATCAGCTAAAAGTAAGGGTTTTATGTGGCTAGGCCTAGTAAACTTAGTGTTGACAATTGTTTGGGGACTCAGGGAAAGGTGAATGAAAGCCTGGAACGATGTGGTATAGTGGCTAACTCACTGACATGGCCGTCCTAACGTCAACAGCCACTGGCATGATGCACTCGGGACAACGTAGATCTTACCTTCAGTGTTAGTTCTACCATAAAAACTCACACTCACACCTTTTACGGTCACTTCTGGACCACTGAGACCACAGAGTGAGAAGAATGAATTTTAAAACTTTCTCAAGAGACCAATTTCAAGCCTGACTGTGTGAAGAGCAAAGCTGACCCATTCCCCAGGAAAACTACTGAGAATTATTTCTTAAAAAAAATAATAAATGGTCCTAAGAACAAAAAGCAACTTAAGAAACATCTGTTCGAGACAACCTATGAAGACACAGTCAAAAAGGCAAGAGTCTAGGGCATCCGAACCACAACGACCCCCACTCTTCCCTGTCCCCGCTCAGTGAGACAGAAACTCCACTCTAGGCTGCTGCTGCCAGGGACACAGGGCTCCCTCGCTCTCCTGCTCCCCGTCAGATGCTTTCTTCCTGGGAGGAACAGGACTTCAGGGTTTCTTATTTGATCCCGGCTCCCTGTTGCTGAGGCTGGGTACTGAGAAAACACAGTTGAGAAGCGGGGACTCCCTTCTTCCGCCCGGCAGAGAGCTATGGGAACTTACGAGCCAGAATCCACGTCTAAGGACTGTGGAACAGTACCAATAATCCTCAACAACGTATCCAACTGCAGTTTCATTTCATTAATTTTTTCATCGAGTTCCTCGCATTGCTCAAGAAACATTTCAGGAAACTCCGGGAGGCTTTCCAACTTGAAAGAACAGAAGTCAAGAGAACTAATCAAACTTGGAACAATTTTAGAGACACCTAGAAAAGTGACAAAAGCATTAATTTTAAAAGTATTTGTAAGTCTATTATTTCAATAATAAATTATAAAATACTAATTGGCAGGAGCATATCTCTTTTCACCTTTTTATTATCCTATAGCTTGCCTAGCATAGAATCTTACAAAGGGTAGTTCCTATGTCAATTGTAATTGAAAATTTAAAAAAATTTAAAATTATATGTCAATTGTAATTGAAAATTTAAAAAAAAAACAGATATTATCCAATTATCACACATTAATGAATAAACACTGTAATTAGTGTGGTTTTTTTTGACTGATGACAGCTTATACTCTAAGTTTCTTGTCTTCTCAACTGAGAACCTAATGTATTATGCCCAGAAACTGTGAACTACAGTTTTCTTAAAAAGACATTATTGAGTCATTCGATTAAGAAGACAATGACAATAAACAGTTTCTTCATGATGACAGGATAGTTAACAACAGAAATGAGAACATAGTTCTTGAGTCATTTTTTAAGTTTCTGTTCAGGTTTCCATGAAGTTTATAGTTTTAGTCTGAGCAAGGATCAAATCTGGATCCTAATCTTTGAATGATTCACTGAGAGATTGTGGCAAAATACCCTCTCTATACTTTTGTCTTATCTCATTTGTAAAATTTAAAAAATGATCTCATCTCAGAGGTATATAAAGAGAAATAATTAAAAAGTAAACTTTTTCTTATCCTTGATGAAAATATTTTCAGTAAACCCTCTTCGGAGTACTCAAAATGATGTTAATTTTACTATCATTCATCATTTTGATTCCTCATTATTTCAAACCATTAACTAACTCATTTTTTCTCTGTCCACTAAATATTCTCATGGGTAAGTACTGCCACTTTATCTATAACTATACTACTGCTGCTGCAGATAACTAAGATAGTGTTTTCCCATCTAGAGCAGTTTTACATTGAACAACAATGCCAATCAATGCATCGGGATTGCCTGGAACACTTTACTGGGAAGGATTCTTAAGTAACATATGACACAGTGACTAAAAGTGCTTTGAAGGATTTTTAATGTCTCTCATGGCTTTGGGAGGATAGATTTTCAATATGGCTCATGGAAAACTGGGATATCTGGTCACCCTACCGGGAAAACAAAATTGAAGTTCAAAATGTGCTAAGGAGTAAAGGCCCTGGGAAACGCTGCAGGCTTTTACTTGAGACCCCTGAACACCTGAACCCCTAAAGGGCTACATCTTAGAAATAAGGGTGGTGCAGAAACCGACCAGCTCTCACAAAACCTAAAGCCATGCTTTATTTCAGCTCAGTCCCTGTTTGGATTAAAATGATCTGCTCCTACCCTAAATAACCTGCCAGAAGAAAAAGTAAAATTATTCTTGTGAAACATAGCATCAATATAGTATCTTAAATTATCTCTAGAATTTTTCACAATGTCCAACATCAATCAGAAATAGTCAGAAATATGAAAAGAATTGACTCAAATCCAAGACAAATACAGATTATAAAGGCCTAGTACTCATGAAACTAAGATATTATATGTCAATTGTAATTGAAAATTTAGAAAAAAAAACAGATATTATCCAATTATCACACATGAACTTTAAAATTAACTATGATTAAAGTTTTTAAGTTATTAAATGATGAGGTAGAGAATTTCAGCAGGGAACTAGAAACCCTAAAAGTTAATAAATTTAGAGGTGATAAATACAATAACTGAAATTAGGAATTAAGTGGATGTTTAACAGCAGACTACACCATGTAAAGTACTAAAAGAAATAGCTGCCAAATTAGAATTCTAAACAACCCAGATTTTTCATGTATCATTTAAATTTAAAAAAGGAAAATAAAAACTAAGAGAGATCATCAGCAGACCCGAACTATAGGGAATGCTAAAGAGAGCTATTCAGGGAGAAAGATTTTGTCAGATAGACAAATGCAAATGTAGGAAGGTAGTAAAATAAAGACAATAAAGTCTTATTCTTCAAATTCACAAAAGGGAAAGATTGATTATTCTTTGACCATAGATGCAAACCATGAACAAATAATTGAAAAATCGGTTTAAAACCCCTTCCAATTAGAGACAGCTTCTCATGAGAACCCATGCCTCTGAAAATCAGCCCATCCAAGTCACCTTCAAACCTCATAAATTTTCTTTTGACTGTCCTCTGGGCCCTAATTTTGTTGTTTTAAGCTGAAGACACACTTTATCGCTGTTAAGTCATAATTTTACTTACTTTTCTATCCATAAACATGTCTGAATTTACACAAATGTATGAATGTCATAGGATTATACACTTTTATCTCAGAGCCGGTCTTTACTCCTTTTCCTTTCTGGTCCAGTTTCCCTTCCAACCTCAACCTCCTTACCTCTCCCCAGCCCTGAGCCCAGCCCGACCTTCACCGAGTCATCCATGGAGAAACTTGGTGCACCCTTTCTCTATTTTCTCTCCAAGCCTGTGAGGTCATTTTATATACACATAATAATATAGATGTATATGTATCTATGACATGGATAATCATGATTTCTTTTAAAATAACACAGAACATTTCAACATCACTAATTATTAGAGAAAATCAAATCAAAACCACACTGGAATATCACCGCACACTCATTAGGCTGGCCAATATCAAAGAGACAGACAATGGCAGGTGTTGGTGAGGATGTGGAAAAATTAGAACTCTCAGACACTGCTGGTGGGAATGTAAAATGATGCAGCCTCTCTGAAAGCAGTGTGACAATCCTCAAAAACTTAAAGGTAGTTACCACATGACTAGCAATACTCTTCTTGAGTATATATCTAAAAGAAACGAAAATATATGTCCAGAGAAATATGTAAACAAATGTTTATATCAGCATTATTCATAAAAGCCAAAAAGTGGAAACAACCCAAATGTCCATCAATATATGAAGTGATAAACAAAATGTGATCTATATATATATACATACAATAGAATATTATTTGGCCATAAAAATGCATAAAGTACAAATACGTGCTAAAACACAGATGAATCTTTAAAACAAGTGAAAGAAGTCAGTCACAAACGATTACACATTACCTGGTACCATTCATAGCAAAGTCTAGAACAGAAAAATCTATAGAGACAGAGAGCAGGATTAAGACTGGGCCAAGGACAGGAGGGTAAGAGGGTGACAGCTCGAGGGCACCGGACTTCTTTTGAGTTTACTTTGATGAAAATATTCTAAAACTGTAGTGATGACTGCACACATCTGTGAATATACTCGAAATCACTGAACTGTACACTTTAAATAGGTGAATTGTATTCTATGTGAATTATATCTCAGTGAAGTGATGCTCAATGGTTTTGCTTGATTTCTAGAACTACATTCATGTATTATTTTAAGTAGTAATTGTATTGAAAATAATTACTGTTAAAATCCTTTATGTCAAGCAATCTATCATTTTTTTCTTACCATTATCACCATTTATTCTTATCTCAAATTCTTTGTAGAGTTTTCTTATACTTTTCACAATATCCTCCATGTATCGTTGCTCTGGTGGCATTTCCCCCTCCATACTTTTATGGCGACGAAATATTCCAATCCCAATATCTGTCCAGTTTTCCTGTAAGTATTTCATAATCTTGAGAGAATCATATTTTGACACCAGAAAATCACCAGCATACTTGTCTTTATCTTCATTTAATATCTAGAGAGTAAAAAAGGGGGTAAAGAAAAGAGCACATTATCCACTAATGATTTCATCAAAGTCAATCCAGATCTTTACTTCCCAGTGACTCTCAATTATGCTGGAGTTACATATCCTATTATCATTTGTTCACACTATTTCTTCATATGACATACATTTTATTTTCAAAATTAAAGTGAATTTAAATTAATTTGATACCTTATAAGGTAATCCATAGTTTACCAGGATAAAAATAACTACATTAAATCCTATGTGAGTAAAAAAATAGTGATAGTCAATTAAGTCCCAGAGACCTGAGCGTGTTTAATTACTATATGCTTTGGTGAAGATTTAACACATTTGTTTATGTGATCCTCGCTAGATGGGGTAAGGTCCTAGAAAGTAATCACCGTGTTTCATTCATGCTCTATTTGCCTTTCCAAGTCCTATGCATATCAATAAATATTTGTGGGAAAAATAAAGTATAATTTGTATATAAAGTTTGCCATTATTTGTGACTCGGATAATGGAAACGAATCACTCACGCTTCAATAAGAGTGACTAGTACAGGGGAGCAACGTAGCAGAGTGATTAAGGGTAGGGATTTTGCAGTTGGAGAGATCTGGACTCAAATTCTGACTCAGTCACCTATCATTTATAGATAATGTAGGCAAGTTACTTAACATTTCTAAGCTTCAATTTCCACATCTGTGAGATGGAGACTATAAAACCTGCATCACGTGGCAGACAAGGAGAGTAAGTAGGATAATGTATGGAAAGCACCTTCAGCCTGACAGAGTAAGTGCTTAATAAATGAGAGTTGTTATCATTCCTACTACATAAAGAAGCATGACTTTTTAAAAATTTTAATTATGCAATGTCGAAATTGCCGGATAAACTATTTTAAAAGGCACTAAACTAGCTACGTTACGTACAGGACAACAGACATCTTCAATTCTGAGAATATTCTGCTCAAGTCATTCCAAAAGAAAAGGAAATAGCCTTCTGGGATCTCGACGAGACTTCAGCAAGTCACGAGTTTGATATTTACCCTGAAGGAATTTCAGTATCTTATATATTTTCCTTTGTTAAACTACAATAACATGATAGTAATTTGACTAATGAAGCCTATTTCCATAACTCGAACACTTTTTAAAAAACATTACTAATAAAGTATGGTGTATACATACAATGGAATATTACTCAGCCTTGAAAAAGGAGAGAATTTTGACAAATGCCACAACATGGATGAGCCTTATGCGGAAGGAAATAAGTCAGTCACAAAGGATAAACTCTAAATGATTCCACTTATATGAGGTGCCTAGAGTGGTCAAATTTATAGAGACAGAAAGTAGAATGGTGGTTGCCGGGAGTCGTGGGAAGAGGAATGGAGGAATTAGCGTTTAATGGGTACAGAGTTTCAGTTGCGGAAGATGAAAACGTTCTGGACATGGATGGTGGTGATAGGTACACAACAATGTGAATGTACTTAATGTCAATGAACTGTACGCTTAAAAATGATTAAAATGGTAAATTTTCTGTTATGTATATTTTACCCCAATTTTTAAAAAGATATAATTCATTTTAAAAGTCCAATTTGTCCTTAAGACAAAAGCCAGGTAGTTTCTCTTTCCAGCTGACACTGAGCCACGGCCATCTCTCAGGACAACGGGCACAAGCGCTGCAAGACAGGGGGGCGGGGGGCAAGAGAAAACCCTACCACAAGAAGCGAAAATATGGGCTGGGACGCCCCGCTGCCAACACTAAGACTGCCGCCCCCCCCGCACACACACAGTCTGGGGCCGGGGAGGCAGCAAGAAGTACCACGCCTCGAGGCCAGACGTGGGGAACTTCTCCTGGGGCTCCGAGTGTTGTACGCGCAAAACAAGGATTATCGATGTTGTCTACAATGCAGCCAACAGTGAACTGGCCGCACCAAGACTCTAGTGTCGAACCGCATCGTGCTCACTGACAGCACAGCGTAGCGATCCCACTATGCACTGCCCCCGGGGCCGCAAGAAGGGGGCCAGGCTGACTCCCGAGGAGGAAGAGGTTTTAAACAAAAACGATTAAAGAAAATTCAGAAGAAATACAATGAAAGGAAAAAGAATGCCCAAACCAGCAGTCTTCTAGAGGAGCAGTTCCAGCAGGGCAAGCTTCTTGCATGTATCGCTTCAAGACCAGGCCAGTGTGGCCGAGCAGATGGCTATGTGCTACAGGGCAAGGAGCTGGAGTTCTAGCTGAGGAAAATCAAGGCCCAGAAAGGCAAATAAATCCTCCTCCTGTCTTAACTCCTGTAATAAAGGTGTTTATTTTGGGGGAAAAAACCAAAAAACGAAAAGAGAAAAGCCAGGTATAGTAGAGGCACAAACGTTACTGACATCTTACAATCAGCGGTGACCACCCACTACCCAAGTATCTTTTCCCAATTTTTTTTTTTTCTGGCAGCCTTACTTTATTTGACTCAAAAGTCTAAAATAGAACTGAAAATAAAATATTTAAGCATATTTTTAAAAGCCCCTGTAGTCTTGCTGTTTTCCTTGTCTTTCATAAAACATAGCATGGCATTTTTTAAATATGTGACTCAGTTGTAGGTGAGAAGTGGCAAGTATTTTGATAACCAGCTGTTTATCAGAAAGTCTTACCTTTTGCCAATGCTTGAAATCTGAAAGAATTGATTCGACTGTATTTCCTTCATTAAGGGACAAAATGTTCATACTGAAAGAAGGGAAAAGAGAAGAGTAGGGTCTCAGAACAGGGTATAAACAAAGAAAATCATGAATCCATACTCTATCTAACAATTAATACTATATTTCTCCTTACTGATTTTCAAGCATGCCTTCCAGGTTCAGCCCCTCTCCCATAGGCACCCATCTTTAAATTTACAAACACAAATATAGATCCAGACTCTAATCAGGCCACGAGAGTATTAAAAGAGTTGTCTCTGGGTCTTCGGCATGCAAAACTAGGTCACCATAAGAATAATTCCTGATGAACGTAGCTGCCAAAACTATAAATAGAAAGAAGCCTAATGAATAAATAAGGCTCAACATTTAGGTCAAAGCCCCAACTTCTAGTAAGAAAGAGTTTCCTTTAATATCTCTGAAGTCTCATGAGAAGATAGCTCTTGATAAAGAAGGTCCTGAAGAGAAAGGGCGAAGAGAACCACCACCTCCTGTGCTCCCTTCCCAGCTGAGAGTCAACAAAACATAGAAACTTCCAGAACTTCTAAATCTACTAAATGGAAAACCTCTTAGGGGAGATGAAAAACTGTAACCACTGTTCTCAGCTCGAAATGGAAATGGTACCTCAACGTGTTGAGTCTGGCATTCAAAGTATAGATTCCCACTAACCTTGGCTGTGATTTAGTCATCCAGCCTAGACTTAATGACATTATAGGCAGCACTTTCCATTGTCAGATCTCTCTAATTGTTATACGATAGTAGAGCCAGCCACTCATTGTTTCCACTTCTCTGCACATGTACTATGCTATAGAATTTGCAGAGAGAGCCAGATATTCAAGTTTGTCAACAGTAAAGACATAAATTGGCTTGATTTTAAAAAGAAAGAAAAGGGATTAAAAAAAAAAAAAAAAAGAGTTGGACTTTAAATGGAAGCAGCAGCAGACAGGTAGAAGAATCAGGATGGACTACCAAGATGATGAGCACTAGAAACTACAAGACTGGTCAAGCTCTTAGCAGGACTGTGCCCTTGTAAGGGCTGCTGGTTATCTGACCAAAATTTATGTCACAGTAATTACAAGGTAAAAGAGAAAAAGAGAGGAAGAATTGGACTGAGTTATCGGATATGACATAGCAAAATCAGAAAAATGAGATTCATATTATTATTCTAAGAGACTTACTTATCATTTCTAAAGAATTGCTGACATTTGATAAAGCCATCTTTAATCATTTGCAATTTCTCCCTTGTAGACTCTTCACTGTCTTCTAATTCCTGTTTAAATTTTTTCACTAAGTTTCTCCATTTCTGTGTCAACTTCTGCAACAGTGCAAGATCTGAAGTATCCTAAATAAAATGAATGGAATCAAACCATTTATTCATTTAACAAACCCTTAGTAGCACACACCAGGCCATTATTAATATTATAATACTAGAGACAACCATAGAAGATGGTTCAAAAAACTGACGATATTCCTCTTTCAAAATATCACCAGTGATATGCAGTCCCTTTGGTGGTGGATTTTCCATGGCACATCAAGTATTAGAGACAAGAATTTTTCCCTTTGCAACATAAGCCCAATTTCCCCATAGGACTTTAATGGGAGGCAGTGTGGCACACTGGAAAGAACAGAAATTTCAAAGCCAAACAGAACCAAATGTGAATCCTAGCCATTTACTAGCTGTGTAACCTTGGGGAATGTTGTTTAATCTATTTGAGATTAATTTTTCATACCCACAAAATAAAGACCCTAATATATATCTCACAAGACTGTTGTAAGAATTAAATGAAATGACCAGTCGAACTACTCTTAAATGGTTTGACTCTAGAAACACTAAATGTCACTTCTCTTCTTTTCAACTTAGTGTGCTCACTGAATTGTCCCATAAAATTGCATAGAATGCATCAATAATGCAACTGTTTCAATAAACACAGCTACTCAAATATTAGTTAATAGAATAACTCTATAACATTTGTAGTGTTATTAACTTAGATAAATTGCTTAAATTGCTTTAATTAGAAGACAAATATAAAGAGCCTTTATTAGCTTTTCCTCAGATTTCTTTCATTCTGCCCACAACAAAGCACAAATATAAAACTATACTTAAAAGTTTAATCTAGAAATTTAGGAAAGGCTTCTTAACAGTGGAGTCTCTTAACAGTGGAGTCTCTTTTTCTATCACTTAAGTGAATTGAGTGATAGAACCCTTAACAATGGAGTCTCTTTTTCTATCACTTAAGTGAATTGAGGTTTACCTTGGTTGACAGCAGTATGATGAAATGCTTAGCATATTTACTCCAGCCTTTTTCATTGAGGTAAAGTCTTTTAGCCAATATGACTCGATTTTTTTCAATTACCTATATTAAAAAGTACTAAAATTTAGAACCTAAATCATTAACAAACCACTAAAATTTATCAAACCTAAGCCAATTTCAAATTAATTTTTCAATGAATCATTAACTCAATCACAATTTCTTGTTGAAATCATGAACTAGTTTGAATCACAATTCATATTTTCTAAAACTACTAAACTGAAATTAAATTGAAGTATAGTATACAGCAGAGGTTCTCGTACAATTTGATCTCAAAACCCCTTTACACTCTTAAAATTTATTGAGAACTTCAAAGAGCTTTTGTTTATATATCTATTGAAATTTACTTATCAAAAATTAATACTAAAATTATTTAAAATGTGTATTTGTTAATCCACTTAAATATAACATTAAAAATTAATCCATTATATGTTAACATAAAGAGTACTTTTATTAAAAAAAAAACTATATTTTCCACAACAAAGAAATTAGTGAAAAGAGCACCACTGTTTTACATTTTTACAAATCTCTTTAATGACTGCTTTAACAGAATAGAATTGGATTCTCATATTTGTTTCTGCATTCAATCTGTTGCAATATCCCACACCATGTAGTTTCAATAAAAATACACTTAACACTCATGAGGACGAAAGTGAAAAAGGCAAATTACATCTTAGCATTGTGATGAAACTAGTTTTGACCGCATGAAAAGGTTTCACGGACCACTGACGTACTGAATCTATTATACAGTCATTAAATGAATGACTGTTCTAGACACTGTGCATACAGCTGTAAACAAAAGAAACAAAGTTCTTATTTTCAGGGAGTTGACATGCTAGTGGTCATTTCCTGTTGGAAGGGACTTTAGGGATGATCTAAGACCAAGCCCCATCAATCCAAGGTATTCTTCTTCCATAGGAACCTCTACCAGAAGGGTCAGTTATAACCTCCACCAAAAGGGTCATTGTTAGAATACTTCCAGAGTGAGGGAACTCACTTGTCCTCTTCATTTCTCCTACTCAACAGGCCTAGCTCCCAAATGTGTTTCTTACATTATATATTTCCTGTCATGGTTACTTCCTCTGGACACGTTAATGCCCCTTTTAAAAGTATGCATCAGGATGGAATACTGTGTCCTAGATCAGGTCTGACCATTCCAGAGGAAAATGAGACAAAAGTTTAAATCTGTTCAGGGTCATAATTTACTATCAATACTATAAGTCCCAGGTATGAGAAAAGACAATCCAAACAGCAAACATTTTAGAAAAACAGAATATTGTGGGACTTTGCTGTTTCCCTAAAGCATTACCATAATGGTCTGCAGGCTGCCATATATCAATTCATTTGTCATCTTGCGTATCAAGGTAATAGAATCAAAGTGAGGTATCCAGTGATCCTAATACTGTTCCATTATGTGAAAAAAATAAGAACCACTTTTCATAGTTTATTACTAGTATAAATTAAAGCTGAAATTTTTAACATGTTCACAAACAACAGAAAAAGAATCCCGCTCACACTTCATAGGTTCTGGTGAAAAAAAGAGCCTTTAACTGGGCGATAGCCACATACCCAATGGTGAAAAAAACAAAGAAAAAAATGTAACTTTCTCTTTCCAAGGCCCATAATATCTACATTGTTCATCAGTTAAATATGCATCTTCATTTTGAAAATTTTTGTTTAGATTACTGAAATTTATAAAATGAAACTTTATCTAGACAAAAAAGAAGTTTAAGTTATGATTCCAGATAAACCAACCTTTAGGGCCAATTCATAGGTGGCTGAGCTCCAGATATCTCTTTCTGCCATTAACTGCTTAATATCATTCTCCATCCTTCCTCTTTGTAATGTATATAAGTCATGGTATTCTTCTAAAATTCTAAGAGAAAAATTAAGAAACAGCTATATAGGATATGCATTTTTATTTTTTTTAAAAAAAAGAACTTTGTTCTCAAAAAGTCAAGGTTTTCCTTTAAAACTCATCATACGGGAATTACGGTATAATTGCTAGATATGTTAATAACACTAATATACAGTAGAAATAGAAGAAAAAATATTCGCATTTAGTTTATAAATCTTACGAAAGTCTTAAAGTAAGAATTTCAATATACTCTACCTTGTTCTAAATACGTTTCATCATATTCTTCTACTAGAATTTTCACATCATGGTATTCTAGCGTTAGAAGACTATAATGGAAAATTTGAATACAAGTAGCAGTAATATAACAGTTTTATTGTTAAGCTTTTTTTCTCATAGAATTAGGATTCTTTATTAAAGGCACAGAGCCCAACAATCGGGAGCCACTATATTTAGAATTATAAATAATTAGTATAAGATTTAAAGAAATTCCCTAGCAACCAACCAAACCTTAAGTATAATTAAGTATCTTTTTTTTAACTACTTTTTCTTCATGTTTACCAAGGCATATCTCTTCCTTCTAACTTACACTAAAGCTCTTGTTAGAATTAAAAGCCCTACTGAGATTAAATACAAACACAGAAGTTGTAAAGTCACTGGTAGCATCTGACAAATCCTTTGAAACACTTCCTCCTCCAGAGTATTAACTTTGCTGTAAGAATTAAAGGCCAATGATGTAGAATTCTTTCAATTTTGCTGAAAGCCAGGAACCACCAGCATCAGTTCCTGAAGCCTCCTCTTATTTGGAGGCTTCCACTAGTTCAAAGTAACTGAGAAAGAATTAATCATCTTAAGTGTCACACTTAAGGTGAATATAAATTCAAAAATTCTACAAGCTGTATCTTTAAGATTTGTGCACTTTACTGTCTGAAAGTTAGACCTTGATTTTAAAAAGAGTCTACGGCCATGCCACCCTGAACAAGCCAAATCCCATCTGATCTCAGAAGCTAAGCAGGGTTGGGCCTGGTTAGTACTTGGATGAGAGATCACCTAGGAAGACCAGGCACTGTAGGTGTAAAAAAAAATGAAATAAAATAAAAATAAATAAATAAATAAACAAATAAATAAAAATAAGGGATTGTAAGCTGACAAGGTCCTTGCAATCTGTGAGGTCAACCAAGGGTTGCCTCACCTAAAAAAATAATAGCAAAAGAAAAAATTCAAAAACCTCAATGTTCAACAACGAGGGATTGGTCAAATAAAATATCTGATGTAGCTCTATGACGAAAATACTCTGTGGCTAATTAAAGATCATATTCTTAATACTTTGATACATGGGGAATTTTTTCATGTGATAACAAAAAATGAGAAAGTCCAAATGATTAAAATTATTCAGTTTGATCTTGTTTTTATAAAAAGTACATAGAAAAAGAAAAATATACCAAAATATTAATAGTCATTAACTCTAAGAGAAAGAATTATGAATGTTCTTTATTTCCTTATTTACAAGTTTTCATATTTTCCAAGTTTTCAATATAATAAAATATCATTAAAAAGTTATTAAAAATTTTGGTCCCTCTCACTGTCCTCGTCTCTCGCTATTGTCAGTGTCCCTCTCAGGGCCTTTTCTCTGTCTCTCTCTCTCTGTCTCTTCCACTGTCCCTCTCACTCTCTGCCTCCGAGAGGAGACCACGCTCTGTGGAGTGTGACTTCCCCCTTTTCCAATAAATGTTCCTTTGATTCTAACGTTGGGGTGTGTTGAATTCTTTCGACTCTTCTCTCCTTCCCGTCTCGGTGCAGGGCTTGGCCTCCACCCCAACTCGGGTAAATTTGTCCTGTTCTGCATCATCTCTTCTGGTGACCACTAAGGGACCAAAGGACATAAACTCGTCCCACCCAAGGTCGCCATGGCTCATTTCATCTGAGAGTGGCTGGGATTCATTTTCCTACGCCATTCAGATCCGTTGGCCTTGGGCAAACCTTGGGCGAATGAATGGTTGACGCCGTTTCTAGGGGGCCGGTGAGAGATTTGCTCTCTAACGCAGCAGGAGTCCACTGGCCCTGTCTACTTTTCCTACTTTTCTTCCTCTAACTTCTCTGACTTGGCGTCACCATCGGACTTGCAGAGAAGACCTGCGGAGGGACCCATTAAAAGACTGCAGGACACCTCTCGGCCACAACAGGACGAGTTCCTCCAGAAAATAAACCGGAAAGTACGACCTATTCCTGTGAACCTGTGGAAGACCTGAAGCTGTCGTTCCTGAAACTAGGCTCCAAGGCTTTCTACCACTTCTAGTGCTGAAATGACCTCATGTTCTCTGCCTCCCAGGGTCTTAGAATAGGCTTTCAGAGATTTGTATTCCCAGTAGGCAGGAAGTACAGCCCTATCTCAGCTTTGAAGAAGTTATAGAAGACAGACCTCCATCCATCAATATCCCCTTTAGAATAAGGGAATAAAATCTCTGTAGGGAGAAGCCGAGAGAATTAAAATGTTAATCAAGCCACAATCAGAGACTGCAATATGATGATCGCCCTGCGACCAGGACACCTGCAGAACAAAGGGAGGTTTCTGCTGGGACTGCAAACAACCCACTCCCCACAACTGTGAAGGGGAAACAGGAAAAAGAGAGTTCATTCTCTTTGGCTAAAACCATGGGGAACCTATGGATTAAAGGCTGGAAACTCCCAGCAGGCCTTTCACTCCACACATTCTTGCTTTTCACTCTATATTGTCTTCCCCTTCCTCACTGTATGCCCATATCAAAGGAAATAGGAACTAAAGAATGGCCTATGAACTGAATTCCCTGAACACTCAGGGTGACTCTCCACACCTTCACTCTGTCCCTCTCACTGTCCTCATCTCTCTCTATTGTCTCAGGGCCTTTACTCTGTCTCCCACAGTCTCTGTCTCTTGCACTGTCCCTCTCACTCTCTGCCTCTGAGAGGAGACCACGCTCTGTGGAGTGTTACCCGTTTTCTAATAAACTTTCCATTTGACTCCCCCCGCCAAAAAAAAGAAAAATTTCTAATCATAAAAGTAAACCCATCATTTTGTTTTACAGAAAAAGAGATTTCTGTCACCCTTTCCTTCCCCTTCTCTCTGATTATCTTCTTATCATGAATATTAGTACAAAAGAAATTCTAGTTTATTTTTAATTCATTCAGCAAATATCTATTTAGTGCCCACTATATTCCAGGTAGTGTTCACAATAAAAAACAACAACAACAAAAAAAAACTTTTGCCCTTATAAAATTTATTCAGAAGAGATAATAAACAAATAAAACAATACGTTAAGTAGTGATAGTGCAGGGAATAAGCATAAGTCAGGGAAAGGAGGCTGCGCATGTGAAGTGTGCGGCAGATTTAAACAGGGGTATCAGAAAAGACCTTCCTGGGAAGACATCTGAGCAAAGGTCTGAAGGAAGAAAGAAGGAAGCCACACAGGATTCCAGGATTCCAGGAAGTGGGAGCCCGTCTCATGTGATCAAGAAACAGCACAAAGTCAAGCGTGTCTAGAATGAAGTAGGCAACGTCAGAGAAATTCTAGTGGGATGAATATTGTAAAGCATTTTTTTAAAGTCTTTTTTTTTTTAATAAGATGGGGAAGTACTTAAGAATTTTGAGCAGAGAGATGACATTCGAGTCAACTTTTAATAGATCACACTGGCTAGTGTATGAAGAACAGATTACAGTAGTGTAAAGGCAGAGGTAAAAAGGTCATTCACAGGTTACTGCAATACTCCAGGCAAGAGATAAAGATGGCAGCAGCAAAAGTGGTAAAGATTTTGCATACATAACAAAAGGAGATTTGTAGAATTTCCTGATGAAGAGATGTGAGATGTGAGAGAAAGAAAGGGATCAAGGGTGACATCAAGATTTTTGGCCAGAGAAACTCGAAGGATGGAGTTGCCACTA